TGAAATAGAAACAACAATAAGAAACCTCCCATCCAAGAAAAGCCCAAGACTGGATGATTTACAGCTGAATTCTACAAGGCCCTCAATGCAGAACTCCCACCAATACTCCTCCAAATCTTCAGTGAAATTGAAAGTGAAAATTCACTACTAAACTCTTTCTTTGAAGCCATTATAATCCTCATCCTAAACCCAGGCAGGGACTCATCGAAGAAAGAAAATTATAGACCCATTTCTTTGATGAAAATTGATGCAAAACTTCTCAACCAAATTTTGGCCGATTGACTTCAACAACTCATCAAAAAAATCACACGCTATGATCAAACAAGTTTCATTTTGGGGTTGCAAAGCTTGTTTGAAATATGTTGAACAATCAATATAATTCATCACATCAACAAGAGCAAGGATAACGACCACATGATTATCTTAATTGATGCACAAAATACATTTGACAAGATCCCCACGCCTGTATAATGTAAGCTCTGGAAAAACTAGGAATCCATGCAACATCCCTCAATATAATAAAGTCTATGTATAACAAACTTACAGCCAGCATTATATTTAAGGACAAAAAGCTAAATCCATTTCCTCTAAATTCAGGAAAAAGACAAAGATGTCCACTCTCTCCACTTCTCTTCAATGTAATATTAGAATGCTTAGCTACAGCAATAAGACAAGATACAAACCTAAAGGGGAGATCTATTTATTTATTTATATTGTTTTTGTTGGCCATGAGGCTTGAAATCTCAGCCTGGGCAATGTCCCTGAGCATTTCATCTCAAGGCTAACACTCTACCACTTGAGCCACACACCATTTCTGGTTTTCTATTGGTTTATTGGAGACAAGAATCTTACAGACTTTCTTGCCAGGACAGGCTTTGAACTAGGATCCTCAGATCTCAACCTCCTGAGTACCAAGGATTACAGACATGAGCCATTAGCACCAGCATAAAAGGGGATCTAAATAAGGAAAGATGAAGTAAAACTCTCCCTCTTTGCAGTTAACATGATCTTGTATTTAAAGCAGCCCATAAATTCCACCCCCAAGTTACTCAAGATAAAAAGAAACTTTGGCAAAGTAGCAGGGTATAAAATTAATGATAAAAAATCAATGGCTTATCCCTATCCCAATAATGAGAAAACTGCAGCTGAAATCAGGAAAACAACTCCTTTTGTAATAGCCCCACAAAAAATAAAATACCTAGGAGATAACCTAGCTAAAGAAATGAAGGATCTCTATGATGAAAACTTTAAAAAATCTAAAAAAGGAAATTAAAGCAGAACTAAGGATCTGGAAAAACATCCCAAATTCCTAGATTAAAATTGTGAAGTCGGCAATACTGCTAAAGCTCTTCAATGGAATACCTATCAATATTCCAACCTCATTCTTCAATGAAATAGAAGACGCAACCCAAAAAATTCATATGGAACAATAAAAAAACCCTAATAGCAAAAAAGAAAAAAAACACAGAAAGAACAGTGCTGGAGGGATATCAATACCAAATTTCAAACTCTACTACAAAGCCATAGTAATCAAAACAGCTTGGTACTGGAACAAGAACAGACATGTGGACCAATGGAATAGAATTGAAGTTCCAGAAATGAACCCACAGACCTATCTTTCATAAGGGAGCTAAAAATGGAATGGAAGAAAAACAACCTCTTCTGTAAATGGGGCTGGCAAAATTGTTTAAACACCTGTAGAAAATTAAAGATAGATCCTTACATATCACCCTCCAATAGAATCAACTCCAAATAGATCAAAGACTTCGAAGTAAAAGCAATCACCTTGAAAACATTACAGGAAGGAATAAAAGAAACGGTATGACTCCTTGGCACAGGCTGAATTTTCTTAATAAAGACCCAGAAACACAATGAAAGTTTGGACAAATGGGATTGCATGAAGTTGCAGAGCTTCTGCATGGCAAAGGACATAGCAAGCAAGATCAATAAAAAGCCCACGATTGGGAGAAGATCTTCACTAGCCATATGATGGACAAAGGTCTCATATCTAAAACATATTTAGAACTTAAAAAATAAATCCCCACCAACAAATCTTCAAAGAAATAACTGCCCCTTTAACAAGTGGGCTGAAGACTTAAGGAGAGACCTCTCTGAAGAAGAAATGAGAGTGGCCAATAGACACATGAAGAAATCCTCAACTTCTCTGGCCATAAAAGAAATGCTAATCAAAACAACATTGAGATTCCACCTCACCCCAGTTAGAATGGCTATAATCAAGAACTCTAATAACAACAGATGTTGGAGGGGATGTGGACAGAAGGGAACCCTACTGCATTGTTGGTGGGAGTGTAAGCTTGTTCACCCACTTTGGAAAGCAGTATGCAGGTTCCTCAAAAGACTACACATAGAGCTTTCCTATAACCATCAATTTCACTTTTGGGAATTTACCCAAAAAATCACAAACAAAGCCACACTAAAGCTACTAGCACAGCTATGCTTATTGCAGCATTATTCACCATAGGTAAGATATGATACCAACCCAGATGCTCCTCAGTAGATGAATAGATCAAGAAAATTTGGTATAAACACCCACCTACCCATATTCCCCCCCACACAATGGACTTTTATGCCTTCATCAGAAAGAATGACACCACATCTTGTGTTAGGAAATGAGAACACTTGGAAAAAATTATATTAAGTGAAGTAAGCCAGGCCCAAAGAAACACAGGACCTATGGTTTCCCTTATTTGCATCACCTAGTATATGTATAGGTCAAGCAGAAACGGTCAAAAGCTATGACCATACAAGATAATGCTAAAGCAAAATGAACCCCAAGATAGGGACACAAGAGATTTTATCTGTCTTGCTGTATTTTTAAATGTACTCATAATGTACTATTTGATGTTTTTGTTTGTTTTTTATGTTCTTCCCCTATGGTATAACCCCTGTTTTCACTGTGTTTGATTCCAGTGCCCTGCATCTTATATGTATATTTTTCCAATTTGGGTAGGGGAAGTGAAATGCTGAAAGAAAGATACATGTTGACCCATTGTAGCAATGAGATGTACAAGACACTATGCTAAAAGCAATCTTAACAGCTTCATTGTTGGGGGAGGGAGAAGTTGGGGAGGTGGAGAGGGAAGGGATGGTGGGGGAAAAACAAAGGAGGAGGTAACAATGCTCCATAAGCAGTATATTTATTACCTTACTCATGTAATCCCTTTGTGCAGTATCTTTACAATAAAAACATATATTAAAAAGAATAAAAAACAGAATCAAATCTAATAATAAATGGTAATGAACTAAAGTCAGAGAGATGAAATGACATCACTAATACAAAGAGAAGTGGAGATTATATATGGGGCATGGAGCCCATGAAAACCTGTACAGCAGCCCATGGAAACCTGTTTTTTCATTTCATTCCAATCAGACATTTTGTAATAGACCTATGTGTCTGGAATTTTATGTGGACTGTATTGCTGGGGCAGGATATCTGACTTATTTAATGGTTTTGAATCCACCTTTTATTGCTCAGTTCTCATTGTCAATTCTTGTTTCTTCTTTCTCAACCTTTAAACCCTTCAATAACTACATATATGTTCCAATAAGTATTATCAGTCATAAAATAGTTAGAAATTTTGCTAAGTAACCCTTTGCAACAAAAACATGCTGAGAAATCTGGAAATGTGTCAAAATACAAAAAATATCTAAGTCATATATTCAGTAGGGCTGATGGGGAATCCAGATATTTCTCAATTTAATAAGTTTCTTGGTTGATTCTGCAATGGTTTTTCTGATTAGCACTCTGAGAAATTCAGCTTCAAGAACTGGTTCCTGATCTAGTATCATGCACATCGGCTCTGTCTGATAGTTCAACAGGACTATATGGACTAGCCATACACTCTTAGTTGATACAAAGGATTTGCTCTGACAAACAGCTCAGCTGCCAGGAGAATTTTGAGAGTAAACTTTTGGTTCATGAGACTGAAAGACACATTAATATAAAACAACTGAAGATTAATTTCCGCATTCCCGGATATATTTAGAATCATTTATCTGATCTGTGGTATACTACTATATAAATTTTGCTACCAAAGACCATGTAGAAAATATAGACAGGTAAAATGAGCAAAAGTGAAGTTTTTATCTTATAATTTTGCCAAAATTTTGTTAACCCAAGGGTATTTTATTTGAAGAAGTTAATGGTGTGATTTTTGAAAGAAAGATTAAGTACATATTTTTAAAAGAAATAGTCATTGGTGTTGAGATATATAGTAGAGTGCTATTAAAATGTATCTAATTTTACTGTAGGGGGAATTTAGAGAAAATGCTACATAATGGCATTTTGACTCACATACCCTAACTTCATCAGAATGATGTTCATGGGGAAATTATTTCTCAATTTTCTCAATACTTTCCCAAGAAAATAGAATTAAATTAATCACACAAGTAATGTAATCACCACAATACAACTCTTTGAAGAGAAATATCACATTTTAGCTCCATCAGGTGTGATTGAGAATGTTCCACACTCCTTCTTAATCCAAATGCCCTACAAGGTCAACCCACTTGGAAGGAAACAGCAGAACTTAGAATACTGGGGATGGTGTTAGGCATCAAACTGCATTACTAGAGGATCAGTTGAGATGGTTTCTTTTCTATAAAACAATTTAATCAATATTTTGTTTTTGTCAGTCCTGGAGCTTGAACTCAGGGCCTGGGCACTGTCCCTGAGCTTATTTTTTGCTCAAGGCTAACACTCTATCACTTGACCCACAGCACCACTTCCAGCTTTTTCTGTTTATGTGGTACTGAGGAATTCAATCCAGGGTTTCATGCATACTAGGCAGGCACTCTACTACTGAGCCACATTCCAAGCCACCAATTTGATCAATATTTTGAAAAAAAAATGTTTTCACTGTCAGCAGGTGATATTTGCCAATACACCACTTATTACAGTAATACCAATTTCAGACACCATTTTCACAGGCTTTAATGTTTTCCCAAAATTTATCTTATTAAACAGTGGTGAGACTTACAGTTCACGACAACTTTTACTTTCTTCACATCTGGGAATGACACATCATTTTCTGCACTGCATTCATATTCCCCAGCCTGGTCCCTCGTAATTCCATAAATGTCCAAATATTGTCCATTTTCAAATGGTTTTGCTACAAAAAAATTACAACATGTTTAGTCATAACTGCCTGAGGCTTCATTTATGTAAAACAATAATCTCATGACTTTGTATGATACTGTTGACAAAATAATTCCAAACGAAACAGGGGAATTATTAAATTCTTTGTTCTCTTATTTTCAGAGGAAATTTTAGGGGAAAAAATAAGCAGAAGCAAAACAAGGGATACTATAATAACTATATCCCCAGAACAGGATATACATGTGTTCTTTTTAATTGATTGTGGTCTCCTAACCTCCTCACACATCCAATAGAGTACTGCACATTTCTATAATTGAGTTCAACAACCTCCCAGCAGTGTAGATGGAATTCACTAATATGACTTGGTACATATTGACTTTTATACAGTATGAGCTTGCAACTTGACACTTAACCTAACTAAATGTTATTTTTCTTTGGGGGAAATTTCATACTCAAGGTTTCATGCCAGATGGCTTGCTAAAAAGTATACAGCTTTACAAAATCATTGCCATATTTCTAATTTCAAAACTATTATGGTTGCCAAAAATGTAACACTGTAAACATTATATGTAAATCACCACTATGTCTCTGAAAAAACAACCTTAATGACTTTCAAATCTAAGAGTTAAGTGATTATAAAAAAGCTAAATTATCCTTATTTTTTAGTGTTCCAGGGAAAGTATTCTGTTGACTGAAAATAACAGAAGATTAAAAATATAAAGACGTTCACTGATGAAAAAATGTCCTCAAGTGAATGAGATTTGAAATAAAAATTCCTTTCTTCAAGAAGAGAATTTTTATTCAGTTAATCAGAGAATCATTGGACGTAAGAATCCTGATTATTAGAGGTAGGGCAAAGGAATATTGGGCCTATGTGAATTTGAAGAGCCAGGACACTTCGTACAGGACTTGGAATATTGACTTTCAGTGAAAACCAAAAAAAATAGAAATGAAAAAAATGTTTCCATTTAATGACATTGTTTACAGTAGTCAATGAGATTTTATTCTTTATGTTACTGTCTTATAAGAACTATTAGAATGATATAGAAGGTGGACAACTAATAAGAGAATTCAATTATAGTGAATCAAACGAAACTAAATTTAGTTATGACCTTCCACATCTAAAATCTATGTCAATTAATTTTCCCTGTATGTTTCCTTGCCTGGGCCTGTATTAAGGTATTGCACAAGCTATCCTCCCAGTTCTATGACCTTGATAATTAAAAACTTGAATTTAGAATATTCAGAACTGGGATTACTTTTTCATCTATCCACCTGTTATCAAGTTGTAGGTGGAGATGAACTAGACTTCTAGATATAAGCTTACAAAAATAACAGTTAACTTCACGATGTAAATTCTTATAATTTGATTTTATAAATCTTCTTGTAGTTCATCTCATTTCATGTACTTAACATTAGTACACTAATACAATATCTGTTTTCTATAAGTTATCCTGTTCTCTCTGATAAAGATAATCTAAGTCAAGTGTGTCTGTGATATCCACTGAAATGTAGAGGAGTAACTCCTTATTTTTACAAAAAAAGAATTTTTCAAATAAACTTGAATTATAAAGTAGGAACCAAATCAAATATGAACTAACCTAAGTGGGGCCTGTGATATGTTCTATAAGAATGAAATGACCACATTTGTGATTATACAGTGAAGCCAACAAAAAGAGAAAAAACATTGTAAACAATGTAAAGACAAATATATTAGGATCGAACTCATTTTTAGTATGAAAATGTTATTTTTAAATCCTCCTTTTACTTGGTGATACAGTTTTTAAAAATGTTATCTCCAAAATACCTGCCTTGAAAACAAGTACATAACGTAATCAATTTCAATAATCAAATGTTATCTAATTGTTAAATAATCTATTTTTTTGATGTTTATGTATAGAAATATGAGCAACATATTTTAAAGTATTAAACCATAAGTATATTGGATTTATATGTCTACCAGAAGTCAGTAAGCACAGTGAAAAATTAGAAAAAATTAGTTTAGAACATAAAGATGTAAGGTTTGTTTTGTTTTGTTTTTGTTTTGTTGGTAGTGAGGCCGGAACTCATGAACTCAGGGTCTGGCACTGTCCCTGAGCTCTTTTGTTCAAAGCTAGTGCTTTACCACTTTTAGCCATAACACTACTTCCAATGCAAGGAATTTTGCTATTTCCTTTTTCTTTATCCTGAAGGGCAAAACATCAGTTTCTGAAAGTAGTAGAGCACTAGCCTTAGCAAAATGTGCAGAGCCATTACTCATGTCTTGAGTTCAAGCCCCTGAACCAGCAACACACATACATATCCATATATATATATATATCTATATATATATCTATATATATATATATATATTTGTAAAAAGGACATCAAAATATATGGAGAGATACATACATGTGTTTATGTGTTATGTGTATATATATTTATAAAAGGGGATCATTGTTGTTTTTACATCATGTACATAATTAACTGATTAAATTACTATATATATATATATATATGTTACTCTTTCTCAATCTCTTTCCCATCTCCTCCTCCTTTTTTAGAAGTTGCTAGTGAGTTTCATTAATAAATATATAATATTCACCTCTGTCTACCCCTTCTTTCCTTCTTCCTCCCATCAATATTCTCTCTCAACAATTTTCTTCTACATGTCATAATATGTTTTTCTCTCTGCCTTCTCTTACACTTTGAAAAATTCATGTGACTAAATGGAACCCATTTTCTAAATCCAAATTAACCCCTATCCATGACCATAATAACTTTTATTCCACAATCAAAATAATATCTGAAAGATAACATAGTCCAACTTCCAAGCATAGTGGCCATTATTCTATTTAACAAAGTTTTCCCTTCACTCATAGCTATTTGAACATAGAAATTATACTTCATATATAATTTTTAATGACAGTAGAAAAAAGTGTTGTAATTTATTAAGTTTCTAGGTCATTAATTCCTATAAGTATGAGTAGGTCCCAGAAAAATGAATTCAATAAAGATATTCTTTTTGAGGCAAAAATCATTTTGAGAATGTACCATAAATATATCAGTTAATATAATCGTGGAAGTATTGTTAGAGCATCAAAATAATGGAGTTTGAAGGAGCAATGAGAATAGGATGTATTAGAGTAAAAGAAATTATTTCAGAAAAACACAGAGATTCCTTTTCTTTGATCTGACTCATGTAATCTGAGTCTTTTGTGAGACTCACAAAGGTTCATCATGGCAAACAATCACTACTGAAATCTTTTAGCATTACCATCAATAATCAAAGTAGACCATTGCTGGAAAAAGTAAAATTTATGAGTGAGTCTGGATGGGATGATTAGCCAACAGTTAAATTTCTCCATCATAATATCTATGTCTTCCATGTCTCCTAAAGTTGTAATCAAGATTCCGACTGGGAGAAAAATGAGGAAGAGGGATGACAAGTTCAACAAGAAATGTACTCACTACCTTACTTATGTAACTGTAACCCTTCTGTACATCACCTTCACAAAAACCAAACAAATGAAAAAAATTATGGTGGTCATCTACTGAGATGACTATAACACATTTCAAGAGCAAATAAAATAACCAATAAGTAAAAAAAGCTCAAGGTTTTGATTTTATCTTTCACTTGTTTGGAACACTCCACCAGATATTACTGAAAGAGAATCTTGAGAACACAAGCCACCTTTTTTCCTGCTTTTCTTCTTATCTTTCCATTTATGTATTCAGTTTATGAACATTAATTTGACATCATTATATCTGATCAGTGAACAAGATCCATTTTAGAAAGCTTACAGCTTATGGAAAACAAAAGAAAAAGGTAATTTCAAGCATGTCTTCTAACTACTAATTTAAGTATACAATGCTGCAATTTCATAATTGTGCTATCATAATCTCAAAGTGATTATGAAATTTTGGCTCAGCCTGAACATTAACTTCATAAGCATAGTAAATCTGGACCTATACACAGAAGATATAGCCCAAAGGACTAATATTCTATGAAATAAATTTAAATTATAACTGGAGGAATCATTAAAATAGTATAGATAAAAGAATAATGATATATTTTTAATATTTAATTTTAAAGAAATGCAACCCTGAGATGCTTTACTTTATCATATTATAAAACAAAAACCAGGCATAAACTTCTAGTAACAATGTGTACAGAAATGGGCAAAACCCACAAAACAAACATTTTCAGACACTGGGAAACTGAAAGCACAGGCCAATGATCTCTGAAAATAAGGAAGTAATCAAAATGAGCCTCATAGTTGATTTACATTGCTTGCTGTGTGGAAGCAATTTCAAGGCTCTAAGCTCAAGGACGAAGAAGCCAGACTCATGTGGTCATGTTGAGTTGAAGGAGAGGTTGTAATTCATGCAGGACAAAGAATAACAAGGTGTAGTTAAAGTTTTAAGGAGGAAAAACCAACACAGATCAAAGATATGAAAAGCAACAGGTAACTCTGTCTTTAACAAGGTCTAGATTGTGTATTCATAGAGAGAAATCTCACAACACTGAGGCAAAATCAACTGGGGATTTTATTTGCAAAATATATTCTACATATCAAACAATATGAAGTGATATTGATCTTTGATAGTCAAGAATGTAATCATCAGAGTTACTAATTGAGGCTTCAGATGCTGAAGACATATGCATAAAGCTGAAATACTCTCTCATCCTGCTTTTTATAACTCAAGAACAGAATTTAATAAATTGAAATGATGTATAATTGATATAGATGCATGTTAGAAAAATGCCACCATCATTTGAAGGAACAAAGAAAATCTAATAATACAACAATCTCACAATATTATATTTATTACAGATAAATTGGTCAACAGAAAGATAACATAAAAGGATACAGATAAAAAAACTATCCAATATTTCAAAATAGTTGGAAATTACTATTATTCTCATTCTTCAAGAATAAAATGGGGAAAAAATTAGAATGGAAGAAAGACAGCCTCTTCAGCACATGGTGCTGGCAAAATTGGTTAATCACTTGTAGAAACCTAAAGCTA